TCTTTCACTGAACTGTAATATCTTGCATCGTAATTACTGGATAAAGTTTACATTCGGTATACGGTGACCAAAATAACTGATTATATTCTCTGCGGTCTTAACCAGGAAGTGGCGAAAAAGATATAATCACATAAAGCGTTACTTTTGATCGACTCGCGTACTTGTATATTTCTCAAACAAACTTTCTCGCCTCCTGTTCTGTGCTTGGTCAGAATGGATGCATAAATTTAAATGCAATTTGAATTAAAAATCTGGATTAGGATCAAATACAGATCAAATATGGATCGGAATCAAACAAAATGATAGGATAAAGAAGAAATAGGAAATGTTTATTAATCTAAGGATTTCTTAACCTACGGTTTATGAATTCCTAGGAGGTTCATGGTTTCAGTGGGTCCGTGAAGATCAAATAAAAATTAACATTTATATTCGCTATGCAGACCATGTCCCAATCAACGGTTTACCATTGAAATAAATAAAAGTAAATGCATCACTGCTTGAAACAAAATGCACCCAGCCATTACTTACAGTGCCAACCGCTAGGCGACTCTTGACTTGCTGTTGGGTCTATGTTTACCATTTAAACGCGTATCATCATTCTGTGTACGACCACCATCGTTTACCACTCCATAAGGTCAAGTGATAATTCTCATTTTCCACTCTTTATCACTGCTTGATTATCTTCTCATATACTGGTGAGGATTAATTGGACACAATTTCTTTCTAGACTGGCTGAAAAGTGGTGTGCGTGTAGTGTGCATGAGGATGCAGTAGGGAGAAATGCACGTACAAGTGTTGTGACCAGTCAGACTGTGAGTATCTGCTTGTCTCTTTATCTGTCAATGAAGGGCGAGTTCTTATAGGGGTCCGTGACTCAAAAAAGTTGAAGAACCACGGATCTAACATGTTTCACTTTTATTATTCTCTGGTGAAGCTTTCTTAAACGTGAAACATGCTAGATTGATAAACGTTTCTTATTTGTTCTTTATGCTGTCAATTAAAAGTCTGTTCTTTCTCCATTTTACCAATCCGTGAGTTAACAAGTTTATTTTCAAATGCCCAGGTCAATATTCTTCATTAACATGTGTTAAATATTTCCATTTTTTCTCAGATATTACATTTCACACAACGCCTTTAAAAAACGCGACGGCGAAGACTTGATGGAATAATAAACAGACACGTGTTCATCTGTTTTGTATGGATTGTCTTCGTGAGTGAATATTAGGTAGGGGTTACCTACGACTGTTGCAGCTACCTTCCTCTTCGTTGTTTGTCAGAGACACGGGAAATATGCCTCAGGCTGATATTTGTAAAGTGGCGTGTAAAGTAGCATTACTGATTCCACCCTTTAGCTTGAAATTTCATGTCTTATGTTCCAAAAAAGTGGAACGATAGCAGTGAGGACTCAATTTTGTAAGTTTTCTATTGGGTCTTTCTTTTCCTCTCGTCTGTTGTCGTGAAAGAGTATTAAGACATGATGGCTGACTTGAGTAGATTGAAGCTCTAGTTCTAGAGCCACCGTAAGAATTGACTTTTTTTATTTTATACATTATTATTATTATTATTATTGTATATTGTTAGGTTTTACCTTGGTACAAATTCCAGTTGCCAAAATTCTATTCATAGAACCAACGCATATCCAAAGTTTCCTACTTTAATTTAACTGGATTTTATCTTTTTGTAAAGAAGGTGAGGGTGAACATATAATTGTTGAGTTATTAAACCCACGCCAAGAAGGCTTGAGACTGCCAATGAAATAAATGATAAGTAACGTGAGATCCTAGTTGGGAATGTGAGGCAAGATGGAAAACAAAGGAAAAGTTTTTGCTTAAATTTCAGTGGAATGTGAGATAAATTGCCGGAAAAAAAATTAAATAAAAATATTGTATCTTGTCAAGATTAGTGAACCCACTCACGGCAAGGTTTGCTATTCTTTACAACAAGATGATTGGGTTCGTTATTCTTTACATGAGATTAATCAGATTCGCTGTTCTAGATATGAACATTTTAGTACAAGTAACTTTAAGGTTCAATAGCTGTTTTCATATTCTAGTTTTAATTTATTAATTCAGATATCCAGAAATCCTCAAGATGTGTAGAACTACATTCACAAAGGTTGTGAAGCCATTATTTGGGGAGGATAGATTATCAGTGATTGATTTGATGAAGAACAAATCACTTATTCAACAGGAATTAAAATGTAAATCATTTAAGACATTTATGAATTGGACAAAGCTCAGTGTCTCTGTACGGTAATGTGTGGAAGTGCCAAATTAAAGACTTCACGGTACTAACTCAATGCAGCAAGACCCATTTTTACTACATCAAAAGTGAAATTCCAGCAGTGGATTCATATCATATATTGTTGGTGTAATGAAATGAGGGAACAGGAAACTTCTCGTATTGTAAATATATCTCGCCAGACAATAATGGATTTTTACAACTTCTTCAGAGAGGTGTGCACGAGCACAACCCTATTTTTGAGCTTAACCTTATAAAATTTGTAGACCTGTAATAAGAGTTCAAATCAATTAATCGTGCTTTTCCCACAAACTAAAACACTATCGAGGAAGGGCCCCTAAGAGTTAAGTCTGTTTTTTGAGCTTGATAGATACTAATACATCACCAACAATTGGATATATGGAAACAGTTTAGCACAGATTAAAAGGTATTCTTGCCAATAACCGAAAAGGTAGTGAGACATGGATCAAGTATTCACAGCGATGAATGCTGATCTTACAGAGGTCTACCTAACAATCCAAACTACCAGCACAGAGAACTCTCAACCATTTTTTGCCCTCCGTTGATCCACAGACAGGCATTCATACGCAACGTATAGAATCATGGTGGACAAATGCATAAGGCTAACATGCAAGGATGAAGACATAATTTTCTACCAGGTTATTTAAATCAGTTCATGTAGATTGAATGAAATACGGTTATCAGGTTATTGGGGTTCCGTAACCCAATCACCATACAATATATTTTCAATAACTAAGTTATTTTAACGATATAATAGTGAATATGTTATTTTAATTGTTCAGCTATCAATAAACGAATTCATTTATATTTCCAACATTGCTTTTAATAAATAGAACATATTTTGTCAAGGCTTTGCTATTCTATTCTTTACATGGGCGTAATTGGGTTCGCTGTTCTTGACATAGAAATGTTGGGTTCACTAATCTTGACAAGATCCAAAATATTAATTAGTATCAATAAATAAAATAAGCCGAAAATAAATGGAAGGTCACGGCGACGTTCGTACCAGCGGATAAGTTAACAAGACCTATTCAACAGTTCACGATTAAATAAAACTCTGGCCTCGCCCACTTCAAACCTACGTTTACGTCAGTGAGCCCAATATCATGTTTATTTTTAATACTGTTTACCCCAAATTTTTACTTCTTTAGGGAAAAAAAGTTACAATTATAATTCTTGTCTGTTAATAAGCAAGTACCTGGTTTTCGAGTGTTATATAGGAATAAAGTGTCGCTGCCGACACTGGAGTTTGAACACAGATCACCAGTTAGCAAACAGAGGTGACTCCATTTCTAATAAGTGGACCACGTGATCGCAAAGGAAATGTATATATGGGAATTAGCGTGGCGTCTAAACGATCACTCTTTCTACTCTATCCTCTATTACTATACGGATCGCTATTCTCTAAATTATTCGCTATAGTATTTCTCTATATTGATCACTATACGGATTGCTATTCGGATTACTATTCGGTGGTTACTTTACGAGCGAGTATTATCGAACAAATACTACTTGTGCGAGTGTTATTCGAAGGCGCCTGACACCAGTATTGTTCAACGGCGTTACTATAGTTGTATCTGCGATTACAAAATCTCTACTACAACGAGCATTACGAAAGTGACAACGAGTATTCGTTGACATTACAAAAGTGGCAACGAGAGTTCGTTGACATCACAAAATCGAGTAAGGGATGTATTGTGTTGACACCCGGATTAGTCTCAATATAAGCAAACGAAGCGGGTGACTGAATGTTAGCTTTTTGGCTGCGCGCTGCAAACAGTAGATTGTAGTTACATTGAATTGTAACTGCTATCCGTAGTCACGTATAAAATCCTGCTGAGTAAATATTCGCGTAAGTATGCAGACATAATTTCTTTGAAACTATGAGAATCTGAATAATTTCAGTGTATTTGCAACCCTCAATATAGATGTCAGTTAATAAAACTATTGTTGGGTAATTAACACCAAATATAGTTATCTATTTTATTTATTTGTTTATTTTATTTTAATGATTTATCTATATATCGTGTATAAATACTCGCTTGACCGCAATCCTATTGGTGAATGTTTCGATTGAAATTGAGAGATTTGGCCATTTGTTAATTGGTAGTACAATCCTTTTTGATGTAGAATATCGAATCCACTGACATTGATCGAGTTTTCTGCTGAGCAAATTAACACAACTGCTGTCGATGACCACAAAGACAATTTCAACTTACCAGCGAAGGAGTCTTCTGTCATGTTCTTTCAAAGCCAGATCAAGCCAACATGTACTCGCTCGGCTGTTGCCACATTAGGGCTGGAGCTGTCCAATTCTCATTTTCCTCGACAGGGTTCAAAGTCGTTTATGCGTCCTTGTGTCATGATTAAATTGTTTCCCTCCCTCCGACCCTTTCCCAAGGACGTAACTTTGCTAACGTATCACTTCTCTGTCGCTATTTTCATGACAGTTGTTCGGGCGAACTACATTCCTTGTTTCCACCAATTCAGTCTTTCACATCTAGGAGGCGCCAGGCTAGGTACACTGAGTTGACTCTTCGTGACTCCTTTCATATACCATTAGTGAAGAGGAAGTTCCACTCAACTTCTTCCTAAGAACCATAACATTGTGGAACGGACTCCCGAGATGATGCTTTTCAATCACTACAATCTTAACCTCCTCAAGTCGAGGGTCAACCGTTTATCTATCCTACATATGTTTATAATCTCCACTTTTTACCTACTCCTCTTACAGGCTTACGGTCGCATCACATTGAAACACCGGTTCCCGTACGATCGCCGAAGTTAAGCAATGTCTAACCTGGTCAATACCTAGATGGGTGACCATTTGGGAATACCAGTTGCTGTAAGCTTGATGTGCGGGGGGTGTAATAGATAATGGCTCGGAATTGTTAATCGGAGAGCCGAGTTCCAATTTCAGTTAGGTTCGTTATATTAACTTATGTACAAATACTCTTGGTAAAGGTATGAATCCACCTCTTCTCCCCCAGTTATGGATTAATTAGTAAGATTTTTGTCACTAAAACCATTATTATTTTCCCCCAAAATTCTTACAATCTGGATTTAAATAACCGGCTAAATGTTGATAAACTGTTATATACCGTACCTATGAATACTAATGGGCATATCTCAATCCTCATAAATACGTTGGACACTATTGTAAGTGGGGGTAATATACTGTCTAAATAGTCCACTATTAGCAGTGGTTTATCTACTTCATGTCGCTGGCGAGTATTGTATTTTGTTGATGTTATAAAAATTACCATTTCATTTCCAACCTCCATTTTGGTTATTCTTCATTCAGTAACCTTTTCCTAGGTTACAACATAAACCAAAGATAACGAATCAATCAATACTCCTCTTATGTTAACACAATAACCTCATTTAATAATCCTCTAACTTGAGTGGCTCTTGGACCTTGTATTGGGTGAATAATAGTAAAAATAAGAAAGCTTCTTGATATGCGACCATGTATAGACAACACAGATCAGAAATAAAGAATAAACACTCCGACTTGAAAATAGATCCATTAACTGAAGGAATTCTAGTCGAACACATCAGCTGCTTTAACTGATTGAACTACGAGTGCCTAATGGCTCACAGGTGATCAAATGTAACCTTTTAAATCCATCCTTCATTCCAAGATGTATCTCGGCACCATATTTGTTTTCGCTTTTGAAATAGTAGTATTAGGGGCAGCAGTAAATTATTTTCTTTTTTTCATCTGATGAAGTCGTTGTCAGTAATTAGTATTATTACTGAAGTGAATCTTTTTTCGTATGTGAGTTTTGCTGAGATTAAGGTCGACCTGTCTATGGTTGCGTGTACATGAATTAGAGCGTGCAGTATTTCTTGCTACATGAATTGTGTGAATTTTATATTAAATTTTCTTTTGAAATTTTATATTCAGAATGATCATTGACCCAACTTACAACGTGAAAAGGTTTATATAATTTATATATTTGAACAGATAAACATAACACTGTTCAGATATTATAAAAGAAAATACTTTTCCGTGTGCATTTCACACATACATACAATATATATATGTGTGTGTGTGTGTGTGTGTGTGTACAGTGGAGGAAACAAATATTCGTACACACACAAATTTTGAATTTATTGTATTTCTAACTAATGAATAAATATACTTTTCATATAAGTAACTGTACACAGATACATGATAACCAAATATGCATAGAAAACAGAAAAAAAAAATTGATTTAATAGAAAGAAATCCCATTTATCCATTTTAATGGGTAAAAAAGTATATATATGAAATGTATTGTGTATATATATATATATATATATATATATATATATAATTATAAAAATTTGCAATATTTATAGGGAAAGAGTGGTCGATATTGAAGATATGTTTATCGACATAAACAGTGTAGACTTATTGTAACTGCGATAAAAAAAATCACCATCACAATGGAATGCAGATTTTATCGGAGTTACAATAAATTAGTGTTTCTAATTTGCCAGTGAAGAGAATCTTTGAAAAAATAGAAGGTACTTGGTTTTAAAAAAAAATTCAACTTAACATCAAGAAACTGGTTAGATAACATGAAAAAGTCAGTTTAAAAGTAACTAGATATGTCTATATTATTCAATAAAACATGTTTGAATAAAAAATATGCTGGCGATATATATATATATATATATATATATATATATATATATATATATATATATATATATATATAATGAGGTAATTTTTTTTTTTTGTATACCGGGTGTAACGGCAAAATTATTCAAATTGTGTAACAGCAAAAATCTTTATTTGATTAAGATTTGAACTGTTGTATCTTACAAATGATTAAAGATATCTTACTGGAATTCTCCGAGGTTTTTATAACACTACTGGACTCTGCCTCGAATAATAAGAATGTATAATTACTCTCAAATCTAACAGAAGAATCGCGATTAAATCGATCATAAACGAAAATGACATATTCACCATTAATTAATCATAGCTAAGGATCGGAAGCTCATGAAGAGTAAAGAAAGTTAATATATATATATATTATTTTTATTTTCATTTTCAAACTTATTCAAGATGAGCTTCGCCCTTTCTAACCTTCTAGCTTTCTGTCTTAGAGTAACAAGATACCTCACACGTTTCTCGCACGATCTTATTTTCAAGTCTTTTTTTCATTGATTTTTGGACTGTCATAGCGGAAACTCCTCTCTTACGGGCCAAACATTTTATGGATTGAGTTGGATTTTTCTAATTGATCTCTTTAGGTCTAAGTTGAAATGATGATCCCATTTTCTGTTGTGACTTCCGGATCAAGTTTTCCACTCTACTGTTCCCTCTTTTTTAAAAATTATTCCCCGTTCTCTTGATGGTTCTTGAACGGTCTTTGAAGATGGAAGCCAGAGTATGAATGTTGGTACCGTTACTGAAGGCCTGAATGATTTTTCCACTTACCATTGCTCAGTTGAGAAGACTGTGGGGCTGACAAAAAACATTTTAACCTGTTCTTTTTCTAACTAAATAAATGGCTCAAATCAACTATATATAAATCAACTCATCCCAAGCAAGGCAATATTGCCACTACGATGCTAGGTGCTACTACAGGTGAAAGAGAATGAAAAAAGATTATAGAAGTAACCGAAAACCCAATCCAAAACAGAAAACAAGGGATACAACTCTAATTCTGTTTTAAAATATATAAACATATCGTGTCCGTTTTTTAACAAAACTTCTTTCTATGTCTCTCCTCTCTCTCTCTCTCTCTCTCTCTCTCTATCTATCTATCTATCTATCTATACATACATACATACATACATATATATATACATACATACATACATACATATATATATATATATATATATATATATATATATATATATATATATATATATGATATTTTTAATTAAAAATATTTTACATTAAAGTACCGAACATTGTTTTATGACGGATAAAAATTTTAAGTCTCGAAAGATAAAAAAATCTTCGTGTCGAAATGTAAAAAAATCATTAAAAATATTAAATATTAATATTATGCTCTACGTAGTTTTCAGCACTTTTTGAAAAGTAAATGCTAAAGAACTGTGGATTGTAAATCCGTTTGTTCTTTCTCTTCATTTGATATATATATATATATATATATATATATATATATATATATATATATATATATATATATATATATATAAATAAATTTACTTATTTAAAAAATATAGTTCCATCCCTACACATGAATTACCCATGTTTCAAAAACAGAAGCTAAAAACTTGAAATTCAATTATAGAATTAAATTAAAGTCCCTGGCTCTGTTTCGAATTCGCTTCAAAATGAAACAGAACCAGGGACTTTAATTTAATTCTATAATTTCAAGTTTTTAGCTTCTGTTTTTGAAACTTGGTAATTCATGCAGTAAGCACTGTTTATAAAAAAATAAAAATATTAATAAGAACACCGGATTATATATCTTACCTTTCTTTCTCTTTATTATAATATATATATATATATATATATATATATATATATATATATATATATATATACTCGTGTATCATGCGAATTTGAAGACCTAATTTTGAAGCTAATTTTAAGGGTTACACCATACACAAGATATGAAATTAGTATAAGTACTACTGACCCTGGTTACACCGTTGACCAAACTATTACCCATTTATTGTAGTCAAATTAGTTTCAAAATTAGGTCTTCAAAAGTTGCATGATACGCAAGTATGTACGGCACATACATATATATATATATATATATATATATATATATATATATATATATATATATATATATGATAAAAGTATAGTTTTAAAGTGCGACTGTTTGTTTCATGCTTAAATGCAATCGTCCGGTTCTGTGCGTTGCTTTTTGACTCGACTATTTATATATCTGCTAATCAAAGATGCATTATGGATAGGTCTATTTTATTTTTCTGACGGTTATTGGATAGACAGTAACGGTTATGTTTTGAATTATTCTAGGGGTTATTGAGTAGAAATAATTGTGTGTTCGAATGGAGTTTTGTAGCTATTTTATAGTGTTTGTTGTTAGTTTTATTATGGATTAATTTGTTATTTTGCTTTTCCTGTAGGTCTGGCAATTGCTTTTAAGCATGAAACAGGCTGTCGCCACTGAGTGTTGACCTCAATGTCCAAATATGTGTGTGTGTGTGTGTGTGTGTGTGTGTGTGTGTGTGTGTGTGTGTGTGTGTGTGTCCTACTGAGCCAGAAACAACCTACCTAGGTTTCACCTAAATGCATCTTCAGGGTAAGCTGTCTTAATCTCAGGATCCATTTAGGTGAAACCTAGATCTGGCTCACGAGAATTTTTTATACTCTGCTCTACTTTGTGTTTTAAACGTAAAATGTCAATGAATTAGTTGAAAGCCTTTGAAACAATAATCACTACACGCAATCTTAGTCCTCATAAAACCATTAACCATTAAAGGATCTACATTTTGGGGGCCCTGAAACTTGAACAAATATGGGGGCCACTTCGTAACCAGCAACAATAGAGGATCGAATTGCAAAAAAAAATGTAGGCTATAAATAGATATTCTGACGGGATCAACGAAATCATATAGCTCGGATTTCGGGCGCTGCAATACCCCAAGAAAACTCTGAAAATTAGACTTATTACAGGAAAATTTTGAGGTCATATGAAAAAGGTATTAGAGCATATTCTAAGGCCAACATTAAATATTTTAACCCATTGGCTTATGATTCTATCACTAAAATTCCCTTATTTTTATAACAAACGATTTAAAAAAAAAAAGAACATCGATTCTGTTAAAAAAAAAATTGGCTTCAGGAATCCATCTGGGCTTAAAGGCCCTGAAGATTCAGCTTCATTAGTGTCATAGTA